GTAAAAAGTCTTCACTGGATGGATGTTTTGCTAAGTTACAGTCAACCTAGCAAAGTCTTAATTATCTCGGAAACTGGATGAGCTCCTATAATTATTTAGGTGACTCTAAAAAGCCCAAAAATAGCACGTAATTCCTCAATACTATTTATCCGTGTTCGACCAAAGTTTAAGAAGTGGGTTAGCTAGCGTGGCGTCAAACGGTTTTTCAATGTTAACCGGGCAATATTTTTAAAGCCCATAAAAAGCACAAAAAAATAAGCCCAGAAAAGTAGTAAAAATACTTCATTGAATGAATGTTTTGCTAAGTTACGGTTAACTTAGCAAAGTCTTAATTATTTACCAAATGGTCGGAGCACAAAAAAAACGAAAAGTGGCCGAAAATAGCACACAATGAGCACAATAATACGGACAAATTTTTTCTTCATTTTTTCATTTTAGCGCCGCTAACTTGATTGAGCTCAATATTGATATTGTTGTTGATGCCCTACTTGTTGTTGTTGCCACGTCTTCAGTGCCTTAATATAACGAAACATGTTTGGTGGTAAATTGGTAATGGGGATAAACAATTGGCGATCTAAAAGTTTAATCAGATGGCAGCGTTGATCCGGACTAACTCGGACTTAATCCGGATCAACTGAAGTTAATTCCCGAGTTGATCCGGATCAACGCTGCCGTCTGTTTATGCTATAAGGCTCCGTTTCCTCATTGCCACTCTTTGAGGCGTTCCTGAACAGATTAAGATGTACGCATATTAGCTAATTTATAATAATTTTTATGTAGAATTTCTCGCTGATTCCGAAAATCGTGTTAATTTTTTGTCAAACATTTTTATACGGAATATTCACACATACCTGTTTATCATATAATCTGGTTAAAAATTATAATGCTCTAGTGTATTTTGTTTTTATAAACTGAGTTAAAAACATAATCTCATAACCAGGCAGGTGTGAATACCCCAATAAAAAATAAAAACAAAGACCTAATTTAAAAATATTTTTATAAGACAAGCACTATGTTTAGGCGCGACTGCTAACACCAGGCGCCTATATGCATGCTATGTACTGCTGCATGTGCAAAAGTTTCCTTCATTAAATTAATGAGATTTTTGCACATACACTTCTCAACTGCCATGTAATAAAACTTTCTTAAGTTATAATTTGATGGCAGTTCAAAGTATGCTCGGCCTAGTTTGATTCATCGTCCGGACACTGCTGCCGGAGCATTTTGCGGACTCTGCATGACTTACAGCCATACAGTGGTGGTAAACGAACATTACTGTTGGTCACAATGTCTATCCATTTTTTTTTTAATTAATAAATATTTTTTTTTTTTATATAAATACATAAATGCAAACATACTGGTCTCCCTCTTACTGAGTTATTCACACTACTTACCTGTCAAATTTACTGTAGTGTTATTTCCTTCCATGTAGGTAATATACATTTCAAATATGAAACTTATCGGACCATAAATACGGGTTTTCCAAATATCTCGACTCCTGTGCCACCTATGGGGCAATGATTGTGGAGTTATACTGTTTTGCGTAAATAACATACATTCCAAATATGAACCATATCGGACCATAAATACGACTCAGCGCCCCCTAGAGGAATAACTCGTACCTCACATTACACTGTCATCGGATTTTGGGCTAAGTTTGAATTTTTAAGTCTCAAGATCATCGGCAAGTTGGCTAAAAATTTATTGCAAGATTTGATTACACACAGTCTAGTTTGGGGTGAATTTCTTAGATTTTTATTAGTACAGTGTAATTAATGACGACCCAGTTAGCACATTTGCCAGACAATTTCTGATATCAGACAAGTCGGAATAAAAAGTTGACTATTTAGACAAGTCTTATAGGTTTCGTACAGTATGCTGGGCGAAATGTCTGGAGAATTTTATTTATTTCCTTATCCGATCGAATTATGTCCGATTTTGGGCATACACGTCTGATAATTCTTATTTTCCATGATTATTTGGTCAGACATCTGTTAGATATCCGTCAGAATCGTCGGTAATTAAGTCAGAATTCCCACGTCGTGTCGGTTACTATTTTAAATAAAAATCAAAAAAATTTTACATAGCGCACTTTGCAAGTGGACTACTGAATTGTGCTTTCGTTTGATAGGAAATGTAGCACAAATCTAGCAAAACTAAGAAAAATTTTACATTTTATATTTTGCTTATATTTAAGCAAGCCG